ACGTGCCACGGCTCAGGCACCCATGTGTCGCGGTGTGTTGCACACAAATGATTGACAGCACAATTTAGGAACTTCTAATGTGTTTTGATCCGTCCGACGTCCAAATGATATGATCTAGGTGCCTACTGAAAGCTCTTTTCATAAACTAATTAATGGCAAGGGTTTCACTTTCAAAACAAATCACGCTAGGAAGTTAGATGCCTAAATATATTTTTACTACTTTTTATAACTTTCATACAAAAAAGGTGTCTAAAACCCATAATAAGTGCTAATAGCCATTTCTAACATCCAAACCATACTCATTAGACCTACGACTATTAGTACAACATGTTACACACACTTAAATACTAGTATAGCACAAATCACTCCTCAACCCCTTTTCCACCAAAAACAGAAGGGGGAGGAAATTTTCTTGCATTCACTCATAAATCAATCATGACATGTTTAAAAATCATTTATATACTTGCACTAATATTTTGACCCTACTAACATATATTTCCCATTATACACAATTACTCAGGGCTCAAAATATATTTCAGATAATTGCTACAATAAAATATTGCAAGTGCAACGGTATGCAACCTAAAATTGGCAAAATATTCTATTACATAAAATAACATAAACTAAAGGCATACAGTAGGAATGAACTAATTCCTAGCCTCTTAAGCCTTATCCCTCTCTGCACTAGAGCTAGAGCCTGTAAAGTGTTAAATGAAAAGTAAAACCTATCTTATGCAATTGTCAATTGTAAATCAAACACATGTATATGAAAACAAGTTCTTAAACCATGTTTAACCACATGTCAAAACTTATCATTACATCTTTAACCCATTTCCATCTCACATACACTAGGTGTATTGTCACAATACATTTAGACATGTGATCATGACCTATTATCCACGCGACTTGCCATGTCACAATCAAGTGACACGTCGTAAGTTTACATAGGCAATGATCAACCAACCTTATACCTTATTATTTCCTCTGATTGAAGTCGTGGGCTGTAACACTAAATAGGGCTTTGTCCATATGACTGGACTACCTTAGCTCACCAATTGTGAGATATGACTCAACTAAAGATTACATGACTCACTCTTGGACCATAGCTTCTCCCACTCTCGAATCTCTAAGGTGTCACATTTCCTAGGCTATTCTCCTTAATAAACTGGTAAAGAGAGCTAGGTTCTAGTCCTTCAACAAACTATGGGACAGTCCCTCAACAAATTGTGGGATAAGGCTATGCCCTCGTATACTAAAGGCAGTCTAAATATCATATACATTTTTTTCTACTCCTACTCCCTAGGCAAACTCTCACCCATTGATCATGCCATGTTCAATGCTCACCTTTTTATTCACATTCTCATTTATTCATTATCATATTATCATAATAATCATGTTGGGCTCACGATCATGTGCTATCCAAGTGAGCATCAAGTATCATTTCCCCTTATATCACATAAACACATCATTTTCAATCTCAATTACTCATCTTTACCAAGTACATCATCAACTATTCATTCAAAACACATTATAAACATGAAATTCATCTCAAACATCACTTTTACAACTTAAAACTCATTTTCCAATCACTTTAGTGTATTTAATGCACATCAAAGTGATTATATAAGCACAAGGTTTCATTGCATGATACACTTATTCACAAGTTATAATTTGCATATTAAACATAAGATTCACATCATACTATAATTAATATATAACTACCCAAAGTAGGGTTCCTCCAATTACCTTAAATCTTTGAGAGATCAAAGATTTACCACTCAATGTTATAGCTTTCAAGCTTGAATTTCTTAGCTAAATTGATGACCAAGAGCTAAATTTACAATTAACTAAGTCAATCTTCATTAACATTAACAACCACACACATAACAACTCTCATCTTCCACTTTTAGATTACCCCAATGCCTACTTGATATAAGTTTGGGCCTTTCCATTAGGTTTGTTAATTCTCTTTAGTTTCCAATAATATTAATGAGCCATTAAACTCCCATTAATTTCATTTTACCTCTTCCAACAACCCACATCAATGTCATTTCACAAAATAATGAGGCCCAACCACCAAAATTGCCAAAACCAATTATATCTAGGTTTAGATACTCTAATCTACTCCCATTAACTCTATTTGAGTCAATGAATTCAAACCTATAACCTATATAGATTAAAAATCATCTTCTACTACAAACTCTAACCAAAAACTCATAAATATGGAAGAGCTTAGAAGGAATGGGGTCTAGCGCACTTACCTCAAGTGTTTCTTGCTTCAAAATACTCCTAATATTGTCTAAGAACAAACCCTAGCAGAGCTTGGCATGCCTTCCTCATTTTCTCCTTTCTCTCCTCTCTATTTCTATCTCAATTTATGACTAATAAACTATAAAAAAATGACCATGTGCCACGACACATGGCATAAAGAGATTCTCTTCTTGCATTAGTTGTGTCTGTGTGCAGATGCACTCCATGCCATAGTATGTGGCACAGTAACACTAAATCTTTATTTTCTTCTTCTTTCAATGCCCAAGTGGCCTGACTTGATACTAGACTTGCAATTAGGGCTAAAACAAATTGAATATGATTACTAGACCTTCCTAGCCATACACCACCTCAACTTACTTAATTATCCTAATTAAGCTTAGTAAATCAAGAAATTTAAAACCAAGATGTTACAAAATGCATATCTAGGAGTGTGTGTGTGTGTGTGTGTGTGTGTGTGTATAAAATTCATTTACCTTAGATAAAATGTTATATTCACTAAATCTAGACACATTCTAGATTCAATAAACTTGGACGTTATAGCTTAAGTTGGGCTATTCTTGTGTGTGACCCTGTAGGCTTATATGAAGTTGCCAGTAGGCCAATAACACTACTAGTCTATAAGTTACAAGCAGCTTCTAGCAAAACAATGTGACTACCCAATTCATAAAAAGATCAATGATTTGATGTAACCTATTATATAATCGTATCACATCCCTTTTTAAATGGAGAGTTGAAGGAAGAAGTCCATATGATTCAACCTCCTGGGTTTGATAAAGTCAGGGTAAATCAAGTTTGTAAATTAAAAAGGTTTATATATGGCTTGAAACAGTCACCAACATCTTAGTTTGACAGGTTCTTAAGAGTTTTAAAGTTTAAAGGTTACAAGCAATCCTTGTCAGATCATACAATGTTTGTGAAGGTCAAGGAAAGCAAGAAATGTATCCTTATTATCTACATTGATGATATAATACTCACTACAAACCACCTTGAGAAGATAGAAAGAGTAAAGACTACCCTTTGGTAAGGAATTTGAAGTCAAAGATCTCAAAAAACTAAAATACTTTCTTGGGATAGAAGTTGCCATGTCAAAAAAGGAATCTATGTATGTTAAAGAAAATATATACTTGACCTTCTTATTGAGACAAGCATGTTAGGTTGCAGACCTATTGAAACTCCTATTGAGGTCAAGAAACCGAAGAAGAAACCTAAAGACAAGAATGAAAAAGAGAAAGACCTCAAGGAGGAAGAAAACTCAAATGAAGAGTTTGTAGAAGAAAAGGAAGAAGCTACTAAAAAGGAGAGATATTAGAAACTTTTAGAAAACTAATATATCTTTTCCCATACAAGGCTAGATATAGCATTTGCTGTCAATGTAGCTAGTCAATATATGAGTTACCTAATGAAGAATCATATGGAAGCAGTTTACAAGATTTTGAGATATTTGAAAGGTACTTCTAGTAAAGGATTGTTCTTTAGAAAACATGAGCAAAAATTTATAGAAGTTTACACTAATGCAAGTTATGGTGGAACTTATAGAGATCAAAGGTCAACCTCTGGTTATTGTTCATTTATGTAGGGTAATCTAGTCACATGGAGGAGCCAGAAGCAAAGAGTTGTTTCAAGAAGCAATGCTAAATTAGAGTTAAGAGTTTTAGCTTAAGGAATAATAAAGGACTTATGGATGGTATAAGTCTTAAATGAAATACAGGTTAAAGCAAGTTCACTATTGAAAGTCTATTGTGACAATAAAGCTACCATAAGCATGGCTTTAAATCTAGTACTACATGATAGGTCAAAACATTTAGACATAGATCGACACTTCATCAGAGAAAAAGTGAAAGAAGGAATTATATGTTTGACATATTTGCCAACAAAGTTGCAAGTAGTTGATGTTTTGACTAAAGGGTTACTTTGCCCTACATTTGAGAATTGTATAAGTAAGTTAGACATGATTAGCATCCATCATCCAACTTGAGAGTGTGGAAATATTTGATATTTATTCAAATATTGTATAATCTTTAGTAGGTTTTATTAGACATTATTAGTAATTATTTTCCCTTATATATATACATATGTAGTTAGCTTGTATTCAATATTCAAATGAATGAGAAATATCATTTTTCTGTCAAATTGCACAAAATGAAACTTTTGAAAATATTGTGTTGAGATTTATTTATCCCCTTAATATATATTTTATATAAACAAAAAAAGAATATAATTGATAAATTAACTCTAGTCACATATTCAAGAAAATATAACAACAATTATAAAACATAACAAAAAATTTTAAGGAAGTATAATTAATTAAAATAATAATTAATAATTAGAAGATTTAATATGAACACTTGAAAATAAAAAGAAAAAGATATATAATTTTTGAAAGAAGAGGAGAAGGAAAGAATTTGAGAGGGGGGGATGGAATTAATAGGGAGAGGAGGAGGGTGATAATCAGACAGAACTAAAAGAGCATTGAAAATACAAAAGTGAATTAGTTTTGAATATGAGATAGGGCAATAGTGTTCACTATTCAAGTATTTAAAAAAGTAAATAAAAATATTTAAATAGAAAATATAAACAAATAAACAATAAAAATAACATAATAATTAATATGTCTCGAAGATGATCCCAAGTGCCATCCTGTCCTAGCTCTTTTTCTATTTAAATAGACAAAGGAAGGGGGAAAAAGAGATGCCCGGGGGGGGGGGGAACGAATAAGAGAAATATTAGAGTGCGTTGAAAAGTCCCACATTGATTGACTAAAAAATGGATTGAAAGTAATATACCATTAAGGTAAGTCCTATTAAATTGACTTAAGCTATTTCTACCTGAATCAACAAAGTTTAATAGGACAGACATCTTACAAGCCATTTTTATAGTAAACTCGTTGTTTAGAGCGCTCGTTGTTTTTATTATAGTAATAAACTTATATATGTAGAATCTGATAAAGCATTTACACACAGCTAAATTGCTTGCTTAGAATCATCACTTAAAGCATCCATCCAGGAATCAATCCACTCGCTTGCTGACATTGTGTTGTTGCTGTCATCTGATCTGAACTCTCAGCATTGTACCTGAAATCAAATACACTCATCAAATTATATATAGGCCTATTATGCGTTTGGTAATTATGTCTCATCACTGACATGGCATCGGTGATCGAAATAGGTCAAGCGAGGCTAAGCTTTCCTTATATAAATTTAATGGGCTAACTTGCCTATCACTACTTCACACAAAGCTCAAAGAACATAACATTCATTTATAGCATGTGATCAAATTACATAGCATCCTTGGTCCTCAAGAGAAAGACACAAATATGATACTCATAATTATGTAGACATTGTAATGAAGCAATTAAAAGAAGGGAAAATCACATTTAAGGACTCTTTAAGAAAATTATTCACAAATAAGGATTAACAAAAAGTCTCATTTGAGAAATAAAAAACAAACCATGTTCGTATTTTAACAACAATTTGTTCCGTGTTAGTTTTTATCTATAAATAATTTTCTTGAGAGATCTGTAGATGTGGTTCTCCCTTAAAAGAAATGACTTTCAAAGTATAATATTCTTTCTTTTTTTTTTTGGGTAAACTTTACAGTATAATATTCTATAGCTTGATGTCAAAAGTAGAAAACTTAGATATTACCTGGAGTTGCAGCAAAACTACATAACCATGTGGGGGTAAATACAGAGATGCGGCAGGAGAGTAAATTACTATTTTGGCCTCATCAAGATAAATATGCAACTACAAAAACAATTGTGTTATAGTATCATATGTTGCCTCGCCAAAATAACAACACCACATACTACTTTGGTCCTTATTAGGGCACTTTTTAAAAAGATATTTTTGCTCATTAATATAAGCACTTGATAGGGTATTAAATATTTTTTGTTCAACATTACACCTATTTAAACTCATTAATTATGAGAAAGAATATAAGACAAATTTAGAAAAATTTCATTTAAAAGGGGGTAAAATTGAAATTAGAAGTTTATTATATTTGTAAACAAAATTAATGATTTTATCACCACCTCTCCTTAGTTCCGGTGAAATAGTTAGAAATGCTTTATAATAGAAAATGAGAATATATAAGCAAAGGGTAGATACCCTCTTTATAAGTAATCTTAATGTATCTGACTGACCTATATTACCACTTAGCCTGCACAAGGCCTGATAAGCATGTCAATAAAACAAAATGGTGTCAAAAGAAATCATATAATTTGCTGGGCTTTAGACCAATTAACCAATACTTAATCTCGGTTTTAATTAAAATAACCATGCTTTATATAGGTGTTCAGAGAAAATATAACATGTATCATGACATGCTATCATACCCTATCTGTAGTGTGGGATTGCAGTCCAAAGGCTGGAAGAAGCCCTGAGAGTTCGCATCCAGGGAACCATATGGCATGCTTTGATCACCATCTTCCCAAGATTGCCTGTAGTTGTTTCTTGAATTGATTTCTTCCAACTGATCAAAATAATAATGTAATCAACAATAAAATCAGATGCAGAGGAGTTTGGTGCTTATTTTATTAGTATTTCTATATCATATATACCTCCAAGTTACAGAGACAGGGCACAATATTTACAAAACAGGGTGTTGTTGGATTTTGAGAAATGAATACTGATGCAAGAATGTAAAAGAAAGATTGAATGATTTATTCCATTTGAATGTGTTGGATATCTTAAATATTTTAATGATATTTCAAGAGGAATTATTATTTTAGTCTATTTATTTTGTAACTTATAATCCCCGTTATTTTCCAAACCAGTTTTTTAAGCATAATTAAAGTGTCATTAACTTATATTTTAATTGCTCAATGTTCGTGAGTTTTTTGTATATAAAAGCTGATTAGATCACATAATTGGACACACTGTCGTGAATTTTCAGGCACTCCCCCTCCTCCCCCCCCCCCTTCTTGTTTTTCTTGAGCTATTCCATGATTTCTGCTATTATGTCAACTTGTTTTCTGCTGGGAGGGTTTGTTTAATTCTAGAGAGTTGTCACAATTTAACCAATGTAGTGGAATAACTCTTACGAACAATATCATTGAGCACAACTCAAATAAGCTTTTCTACCATATTTTCCAATATAATCATGACACAAGCAGAAAAATGTTGAAATGAGAGTGAATAAGTCCATAAACAGTAAATTAAGAGATGAGCCTTTGTAAAGACTAGGACCTTAGATAATGTATGAGTGAACCCCAATATTTCCAACGCAGAGAAACTGGAAGAATGCCAAGAGAGAAAAAAATGCATGTAAATTACAAGAAGAAACCCATCAATATCAGTTGGGTCCAGATACTTCATAAACATTTGCATCAGGGTTTTGTTATTTTACTTCATGGCTACGTTCGGATAACAAAAAAATGTAGGGTAGAAGAGGAGATTCGCTTGGTATATGTTATATATAAGAATCTTGACATATATGTTGACTACTAGTCCTACTTGAAGCTAAGTTCTATGAAGAGTGTGACACTTAAAAGTGTAAACAGATACCAGGAAAGAAAAGAGAAAAATAACATAAATTTGGCTCATTTTCTCAAATATTCAAGTTCTATTATGAATGGGATTAATTACTTCACTAAAATAAGATTTTGAACAATTTTCTAATTGATAAAATTGCATAACTTCTTAGATCACAATGGGAATTTTTTAGTTTAAATGTGTGTGTTTGTGTGTGTGTGAGAGAGAGAGAGAGAGAGAGAGAGAGAGAGAGGTATTATTAGAAAGATTTAGACTTTAGGAGGGATATCAAATTAGGATTTGGAAAAGAAAGTGGAATGAAGTTGCTAAATAAATGTAAGTGATGATAAATTACTTTCATAGTCAAAGATCTGTTTGCTTCAACCAAAATCTGCTCCTGTGTTAGAATCACAAGCTTGCAAGTATTAGACTCAGAAAATAATATTGTTCTATTCTAACAATCATGCCATAAAATTTACCTTATTTTGAAGATCGCTCAGTTGGTCCAGCATGAATTGAGTCTGCAAAATATTATTGCAGATATGTGATAGGAATCATTTTTTAAGCTTATTTGGGAAAATTGAGAGATATAAACAGATTAAGTCATGATTTCAGTCATATGTGGTACATTTTCTTATGGCCAAAACTAGGATATAAAATTGTTAAGAATGGAAAGCGACTGCTCAAAAATGTGGAAGAGAGAAGAAATGAGTAAGAGCAATTGAAAGACATCGCTCAAAACTTCAAAAATCAAGTTTATTAGTCATTCTTCCCCATCATAACTTTATTCAATGTGGGACTTTATACATCAACTTAAATCTACTTATATTTGGACAACCTAACAAAAATTACATAAATGTTCCATTTATTTTATTGAAACCATTCTCAAATCTTCTCTCTCATAGAACAATACATAGAACACCATGTGTGTGCAAATTAATCACACAAACTACACTAACCATGTGGCTTGATAAGCAATTTACGTGCATGTTACTTGAGGAAGTGCAATTCATTACCTTAATGGACCTCACTTGCTTTAAAGATGAATCAAGTTGGCGCTCTAGCTGCTCCAATTCTTTTGAGTTCAATGGATCCAAGTCTTCCCCTAGAAGGTTTCTGCAAAAACAAAAAACAAAAAACAAAAAACAAAAAACAAAAAACAAAAAACAAAAACAAAAACAAAAACAAAAACAAAACAAAACAAAACAACATGGCATTCAGTTATTGAATTGAATTATCTTCCAAAGACGGCACGGATATTTCATTACTAGACAAGTGTTGTGCAGCAAACAGGGACATAGGATGGGGCCCAACCACTTGACAAGTGGGGTCAACTTTTCCATTTATGCGCTTGTCTGCTGCATAGCACTGTGTTTACACCAACATAACAACAATTTAAGATTATGGCAGTAGCTAACTTTGTAACAGGTGAAAAAAGTATTGCCTAATCTAAGAATAGGCAGCATTTTTCTTAGTGTAATTTTCATTTCTTAAGTAACGAATATGATCTTAGAAAGAACCCTAACTTCTTAAAAGGCGTAATATAACTATGCTTAATTTAGACCAATGAAATAAATCGCAATGATATAGTTTAAAAACATTGCATTTTGCAGTAATTTTTATGTATATAAGAAGTCAGTAAAAAAGAAAATGGAGAAAAAGTTACATACGAGCCAAATTTACTTTTAAATATCCAAAGGAAAACAGGAAAAGTTCAAAACAAGTTGTTTTGACTTTTTTTTTTTTAAGATGAAAAACTTAATTATTATGAATATATGATGATCACCTTTGTGTCCTTTGGAGAGATTCATATCTTGCTTTCAGCTTCAAGTATTCGCGGTACCTGGTCTGCTAAGCAAGAGAATGAAAAAATAATAACTGAACAAAAGTTGATATGTGACATCCATTTTACAATAAGACAGAGATTAATCTGCAAATAGTTGGATATACAGTAGTGGACAAGAATTTTACAAGGAGTCACTCTAAAATATGATAAAACCTCATAAAAAAATTAAATTGGTTACTTGAAATTATATTACCGGGGAGAGAGGGAGAGAGAGAGAGAGAGAGAGAGAACTAAGAAATGAAAGTAGGCCACCTCAAGCTCCTTGGCTGGTTTGTTCACTTCCACAGCGCCATAACTGCACTTTTGGTACCTTTCAAGTGTTTTGAGCATGCTGGCATTTCACACACGCAAAAGAATATCTTAAAAAATCATATATTGATGATGGTGAATTACTCAGTACACCATAATGCATTATGAAAACAACAGACAGTAAATGACCAAAATGCCCTTGGTTCTTGTATCTTGTGTTGGAATGAAAAAACTGAAAAGCTCACTTCTCATTATAATCGGTGTTCTTTTTTTTCCCCGGGCACCAGTGTTTTTTTTGTTTTAGATGTTGCATTTGCGTTCTGTAGTAATTTGAATTGTGTAATATTAATTTCCGTACGTAGAAATTTAAAACTTAGGGATTATAAATGGTTACAATTCAAATCTTTTTTTTTTTTTTTTGATTTGAAGTTGAGGAGAGTTGGATCTTGAAAGTTCATCTGTAGCCCAAGCACACCTTTAAACTCAATGAGTATTTAAAGAGGTATTTACAGATTACCCACTAACAAGGTCATCATACATCGACAATGAGATTTAAACCCATGAATTATGGACCAACATTTATCGGTTACAATTCAAATCTTTTGCATTTAAAGTAAAGTTCTTTGTTTACTTTTTATAAAAAATAAAATAAAAATAAAAAAGGAAAACTATATTATATAAATATAATTATTACAGGAAGTAAGAAAATCAGAATGATTATAAATACTAAAGGAATTAAATAAACTAATCTATTTGTCCTAGCTCGATTATGTGAAAAATCTCTCTTAGTTTGAGGTCTGCTACATGCAAGTATTATCAAATTTATATTATCGCTGGACTTTGGCTGTGTGTGTGTGTGTGTGTGTGTGAGAGAGAGAGAGGTACTGCAAATTAAGTCAATTAAGAATTAAATGTACATCAAATTAATTTATGAATTTTTTTCAGGACATATTTTGTTGTTAACACAGTGAACGAGGGCAAAGATGGGAAATTGTCAGCTTGAAGCTGGACTACGTAATTTCTTACCATAGTTTCCACACAACTTCACTTTCATTATCCAGGTGAAGTAAGGAATTTACTACATTTTGCTATATAAATGTAATAATTTAATTAAGATGCATGTGCATATTGATAATGAAGAGTCAAATATTTTTCCGTCATCGTTTCATCTGCTATCATCCCTATGTTTTTATACAGATCTAACATCCCACACTTAAGAGTCGGAAAAAAAAGTGATTGAAAATTGTGTATTTAAAATATTTTGGAGTAGTGGGCATATCTAAGCACAAACCCATAAACATAGCAATCAGAGCACCCAAAAAAAAAAGAAAGAAAGTCTAAAATTTTTAAGAAAATTGATCGAAAGGAGTAGAAGTTTGTGACAATAATCTTAATTAATTAAGTAGCTTAAGCAATTAGTGAAATGTCAAACGCAATCAATAGGCCTTATATATACAAAATAAATAGAAAGAATTTCAACCAACCAAAGGTATAAGATATCCCTTGTAAGATCAAGCAAAGCGCGCGCGCGCGCACATATCATTTCGTAAATTATTTTTAATTAACAAAAAAAATTAATTTTCGTGCGGTTTTCTCTAAATTGAAAAAACGCAAATAAAAAATATGATCCAGTTTTCATTCAAATCAATATATAAACGCGGCAAACTCTAACCCGAACAATAAACCAATATGATCAATTTATAGAGATATTTATGTGTTTTTGTCGCTCCTCTTCATAAAAAATAAGGGCACAAAATCTGAATATGTTCAAAACATATTTATCAGAAAAAAATAATTTACACGTAATTTTTCATTTACTTTTACATATAAAACGTGAAGGGAGAAATTGTTTCCCAAGAAAATATAGCAGATCCATATATCATAGTATATTGTCCCTCCCTTTTCACCCTGTGTCGTATTGCACATCTTTAGTGCAAAAGCCTTCTATTAATAACCTATAACATGTCATAATAATTACTCATATATATAATAACTATAAATTATAAATGCTGAAACAATACGCTCATCCATGGTGTACCTGTAAAATATTTTTATTCGTTTATATGATCATAATTTTCTTAATACTATGATCTCGTTCATAATAAATACCACAAAAATTTTAGTACATACTTGGTACAATGAAAATTATTTTCTAGGAAGGAAAAAATAAATATATTTTAAAACAAAATGGGATAAATGTATTTCTCATTTCTTTTACGGAAAATATTTTTAAACCTACCAAATAGTGTACTATTAAATAAATCTATGCATATACACAGCGAGTATAGTCTAGTCCCCCCCCCCCCCTTAATATCATTCACACAAGAGAAGGAACTCATACACACCTACTGCATCACATAGGGTTGAACTTGCAACCTCATGCTTAAAAGAAGGAAATACTTAGTGCTATTAACGTTACAAGATCACCATTGGTGGCATAATCTGGTCCTCTCTCTAGATCTCTATGTAAATATATATCAAATGCAAAATTTCTCGATATATATATATATATATCACTCGATACTATTTCCCTCTAAGTATAATGATACGTGTTTCCAATGGAAACAAGAAATAAGAATTTTTTATTTTTTTTTATTTCTGGTTCCAAACAAAGCTAGAGCTATGCCCTTGCTTCATTGAATTGGAAAGCGTATTGGTTAGTTGATACATACAGTTAATAAAGAAAATAACGACAAGTTTTTTTTTTTTTTTTGGGACAAAACAAACTAAGTTTTCTAATTTGAAACCAAACCAAAGTTCAAATAATAATAATAATGATAACTAGAGACAAAGAAAGAAATTAGAAGGTGGGAGAGAATAAATTAAAGAAGATAAATATCCTGTCAATCATCTTCGATAGTACGAACCAGTAATACAACGATGAGATTTTCATCTGACTATGTACTATCACCAGATCTACCGTGTGCACACACGCCCACCCCCTAAACACAGAAACGAAAAGCCGTGAAAACAAAAATGGATCTGGCGAAAGAAGCAAGTCACACGCACATATCTATGCAGTAGTAGGTAGCAGCAGATTAAGCCACAAAACAATGGAAAACTCGCAAGTGCCATAGATCTGAAGGGAGGTACGTACCTAGGAGTGCTACAGAACTCATAAAGCTTGCCACGATTGGAGAAGACGATGAGAGCAACTTCTGCATCACAGAGAACAGAAAGCTCATAGGCTTTCTTCAAAAGCCCATTTCTTCTCTTTGCGAATGTCACTTGCCTATTTATCTTGTTCTCTATCCTCTTCAGCTCCACTCTTCCCCTCCCCATATCGCCTTCTTCTTCTTATTATTCTATTCCACTCTCTCTTTCCCTTTTCTATTTCTATACAATCTCTTATCTTCCTTCTCTTTTTCTCTCTTCTTGCTTCTTCTTCTTCTTCTTCTTCTTCACTGATCTCCTCCTATGGGGTAACTAGCCACTCCTTCTTTCCTGGGTTAGTAACCAGATGGAACCAAATTTGTGAAAATGGCGAGAAAGTTGAAAGCCCTAGGAAGAAGAGCCAAAAAACAGAACGAACATGAGAGAGAGAGAGATAGATAGATTGGTCTTTCTCTTTCTAAAGTTTTCTCTTTTATCTTCTGGTTTTGCAATCGCCACAAGAAAAGAAAACGGAATGGAGGTTCTGGTTTGGCGTCCTTTCCAGTTTCATGCAATATTTTTTTTCCCATGATGTTCTTTGCCGAGGTATTTTTGGTAAGGAAATTTTTGCTCAGCCGCACTTTAGCGCGTGATTTGCACGTCACATTTGTGGCAGGGACCAAGTGGTACATTGTGGAAGACTTGAGACTGGCGCTTAGGGACAGCTGTTTCAAGCATTATTATTAGTCATTTTTCCTTTTGTAAAGCAACGCGAGGGATTTGGATATTTTCTGTATTCTTTCTCAATACATCCTTTCACATTCAATCATATTTATTTATTTATTTGTTTGATTTAATGGCGTGATATTGTTAATTATAATATTAAAATAAATAAATTATTCAATATCATCACTTAAATGCTTTAGAAGATAAGTGTATAATGCTTATTTATGATAATCATTAAATGAATGGTATACTTATTTTAATATTTTAATAACTAGCAATGCACTGGTGCAATGCATGGGGTATTTTTTATTTTTATACAAGTTAATAATACATAAAAGATTAAATATTATACAATATGTGTAATCATTAAAAAGTAAATTTTGTTCAAATATGTTATATAATTGAGATATTAAAAAATGTAAATTTCACTAATAGGCGTTGATCCTACTGGAACGGGTTATTTAGTTGCTTAAACATAAGGTAATGAGTTTGAATTTGTGTAAATGTATAGGCCACAGTAGCAAAAATTAATGGAGTTAATTAACCCAATTAGTGACACATAAACATGATCTGCGTTAATCCACTAAAGGCAAGGATAAATGTTTTAGACCAACTAAAGTTAAGCGTGACATGTTAAAATTAAGAAACTAGATTACAATTAAATTAAAAGTTAAATGATTAAATAATTAATTTTTCCTTTAATTTAATATCATTTGAGTTACTAAAGTTTTTGCGTTACCATTAATTAAGAGCAAGCTCTCTCTTTTAGTGTTAAGATGTCTCATTCCATCTTGAGTAAAATTTTGTATTGTTTTTTTTAAATGTGGATCTTAAATTTTAAAATTGATATTAAAATACATTTTCAAGAATATTTTGTGATATTTACATGTTAAAAATAATATAAGTATAATAATATGAATCTTTTAAATTTTTTAAGAAAATATCTATAACAATGCACTCAAATATATATATATATATATATATGTTTCCTCTAAATACAAAATGAATTAAGTTTTAAGAGATTAGTTAATTAATATTTAATATGAATATGTGTTATATACCTTGGCCTTTTTTTTCTTAATTAAGTGAAAGAAATTCAATCTTCCTAAGCTCAACTCTAAAATTTTTTAAATTTATTCGAGTTGGAATTTGGACCACACTAATGTTATCCCAAAGAATATCATCCTTCACGCTTGCCATTGATTTTGCCTGTGTTAGTGCGGTAGTATGGATAGTTGCGAAAATATTTCTAGAGTGATCATTAAGAATCCAAAAATAATTTACCAAGGATATTTGCAATTTATTCACAAATAAATTTAAGATTATTTTCTTCAATAGATATTTGCAGTTTAATCACTAATTTTAAATTTGGATTGAATCTTATTAAAATTTGTTTTAGTAAATATTGATGTAGTTTAAAATCAATGTGATTGATCTTTATGTGTTGATTTTTTTTTTTGGCCAAATATGTGTTAATTATTTTTCAATTCTTTTAAATTGAAGGACAAATCAATACTCCTTCCATACTACAATATAAATTATTGTTAACTAATTTATTTTTAAAAAATGGTTAAGATTTTGATTTTTTTAAAATTTCATATCTTTCTAATCATTTGCCCTTGAAAGTGATAAATATGTCATTTGACTTATTCAAAACATCCATATTTTTTGCTCAATAAAGTAAAGGTGTAACTGAAAAAATAAAATACCTATCAAATGTCTTATATTTTGAATTAAATAAAGCTTCTAGAAAAGGACTTATATTGTGATTCATATGGAGTAAAATTTATTTGCAAGGATATTTGCATTATATCCACAAAATAAAATAATCATTAAATTTATTAAAATTTAAATTTGCATCCAATATTATTAATATTTACTTAAAATACTGATGTAATAAAATAAATTAATGCATGCATTATGTATCTATGGGTTGATTATTTTTGAAATATTACAAATTAAAGGAGAAATTAGTGAAAGAAATTGAACGAATAATCAATGGAGGAGTATTCAATGCTTAAGTCAGATATTATTGAAAAAACAATGAGTTGGTCATCCACATGTCAAGATGGGAGGACAAGGTTCAGCTGACATATCTTGCTAATACAACGACACATGTGTTTGCTTACCTTAATTTTATACAGATATGGATAGATGATTTTTCCATTTTATTGTGCAAGTTAATTCAACATACACCTCTAAATTCAAATGAATTTTTTACCAATCAAAATGCCATATTAACATTCTATATATAAATTAAATACGCCAATATGATCTCAAATATAAATATAACTTCAACAAAAATTACATACACCAATTAATGCATATATACAATATGATAACAACAAGAAATTAATATAATGTATGTATGTATTACCATGTTCAAGATTGAATAGGATGTCTCGACATTGTAATTCGTGGAGGCCTCATCTTAAATATCATAATAGATTTATGAGATTCTATTAGGATATCATAATTTCAAATTGATAATATCTCATACATTTATTAGTAACAACAATGTTAAATTCAATAAAACTTTATTTTACATTGCCCACTTAAAACCCCATGGGGAACTACATCTTCTTGTTCTTGAGAACTACCTAGTACCCCATATCTCAAACTCTAGAGCACTACATTTTTTCATGTTTGAGAACTCCATGATAAAAAAGTATGAACAATCACATGAAGAAAATGAAAAATGTAAATACCTTGCATTATTGACCTTTTAACACAGTAATCTAGACTCCCAAAGGATTCACCTTCTCTCTGAAATTTTTTGCATGAATTGTAAAACCACCCTCTATTAGTTTCAAAAGTTTATTATTGTTGCAAAAGTGAGACACGCAGAGTCTTGCAATCAAATTACACTCAAGAGGTAAATATATATATATATATATATATATTCAAATATTATATATTTCATTACATTACTTAAACTACCCCAGACACATTCAAAAATATAAACAAAGTAATATACTATGAATACCAATGTAGATGTGATGATTGCCGAGCCATGAAAACAACACCTTCAAGTAAGCCTATATAAAGGCATTCTCCATAGTATGCATTCTCAAATGCACCAATCCTCTTTGACTTAGACAACATCAAAACATACAATTGCAGAGTCAATTGAAAGATACAAAAGAACATGATTCTCACCAAAAGTGAGCTATGTATATAGAGGATCTAACATTAACAAAAGGGATGTTTGAATTTCAAACTATATCCCAATTATTAATAGATATGACATCAATGAAATTAATCATTAGATTTATATACGATTATAATATAATATATGTTATAATCAATTTCATTTGAATTTTGATTTGAAATCTCAACTTTCAATTAGTTATTATTTTTGAATCTCGAAAGTTTCCTTTTACCATCGCTAATTATACTTAAGTAATATCATTTATTGATATTAATTAAATAAGAGTCAAACCAATTTTTTTTCCTTTTGGAAATAAGAGAATCAAAATAAGAGTTATAATCATTATTCTAGTAAATGTAAAAAACACACAATTCTTTCATCCACATGAATCAACCTAAGAAATTCATGGATCCTACATGGAAGCATGATATTTCTTATTTTAGTTGTTTTTGTAACAAAATAATGATAAAAAAAGAAAGAAAATATGCAATTGAAATACTAATATCTATATTTGGCACCAAAAAAAAAAAGAAATACCACTATATATATAGTCCAACGTATATGGTTGGAGTATTCAGGCAACTTGCAAATTCAAATATCTGGATTATTTAAAAATAAATTTAATTAGGCCGACATTAAATGGATTTATGGAGTTAAATGCAATGAGCGATATACTGCAATTTATTCCAAGTTTCATACCAATATATATATTAGTATATAAAATTATATGCCATGAAATATTTGAGGAGGAAATTACCGTGCATGTTTATCAAGTAAGATTTATATCAAGAAAATTAACATAAGTCAACGACCATAATCAATATATATAATTTTTTTTGCATGACAGTATTTTCACATTCCAAACACTTGTAAAAAATAAATTAAATATCTACTATTATACATATAATGAATCATTAATTACGGGTGATAATAGGAATGATAAGTTTCCAAAATTGCTCTATGATTTGATTTCAAATGCAATACGGGAGAATAACATTTTTAAATGGGAATAGGAATTCTAGATATTAATGGAAATAATTGCAGATAACAATATAATGGTCACCTAATTTTTAAATGCAAAATCACAATAGTAATTATAGGTTGTAATAGGAATAATATTCAATGTAATTAGATAATGATGATCATTTGGCGGGAAAAATGCTGATTGCAATTATTCTAAAAGGTAGATTGAAATTTTTGATCATATTTTCAGTAAATGAAAAAAATTAAATTTCAAAATTAATGCATTGTATTCGTTAATTAAATGCATGCAGTATATTTTCAAATGCAACCTTATGGAAATAATAAATTATTTCTGCAAAATTAATCATCTAGCATCCATGTGTCATCATCACAAGAGGAAAATAGGGAGCTAACATGGCTTTATAATATGCCGACATGTGTGCTTGAAAATCCTAATTATATATATATATATATATATATATATTAGCAATCTAATATCATTAAACTAAATGAATAATTAAATAAATGGATGAGATTGGATATGGAACAAATCCAAATCCATAATCGGTGTCATTCTTCAGTGTCTTGTAAGAAGTATATCAGAATGTCATCACTTATCTGAAAATGGACCTCAACGTGTCATGTTGTCATTAACCCTAAATGTTTATTTTGAAAATAAATTGCATTTCTTTTTTGGGCACAACCATATGTCATTATAATTTCATCGAGTTTTTCTTTTAATTTATGTATTTTTTAATATTTTTAGTTTCTATCATTTCAGTAATATTAGATGAGTTTTGTTACGCCCATATAGTTTTAGTGTTTTCAATCTCTATAAAAATTTAAAACATTGAAAAAAATTGCAGAAACTAAAAATAAAATTTGATAAAATTACAATGACCAATAAGTATGTTTCCCTATT